TAATCTCAACCTTATTTGATTGCTATTCGATTCTGAAAACTTGAATTTTTCCTTGCCACTAGAACACTGACTCCACCCGACCTCACCCGAGCAGAGTGCCTAGTCCTGTGAGATTCCCAGGGGTTACCTCTTATCCGGTGGGTGGGTTACCCGGGGGGTGGGTTTCCCCGGGGGTGGGTTAACCTAGCTAGGTCCTAGGCTAGGGGATGGGTTAACCAGAGGGTAGGATTCTGAGCTCTTCGTATAGCAGACCTAGACCCTCAGGCAAATTACCCTCTTCTTTCTTCACTTGTAAGTTGAGGCTAATAAAATCCCTGGGGCTGTGGAGGGAGAAATGTAATTATTTATTTTGTAGCCTTTTAAAATGGTGATGGGGAAGTCTCAAGCAAAATGGAAAATGCTTGCTATAGTGCTGTATTAAAAAGTCAATTATACATACTGCATGATCACATATTGTAAAAAGATAAAGAGTCACGTGAATGAGAAGCTACAAACTGAAAGAAAATATTTGAAAAAGATATGTCTAATAACTGTTATCCAAAATACATTTGACCCTTAACTTGGCTTTGTACTTTGTGGGACTACTAATACGGGATTTAAAAAGCTGTTTTTAAGTGGACCCACGCAGTTCAAACCCACCTTGTTAAAGGGTCAAGTGTATTTCTATGTTGGAGGGCAGCTTAAGTTATACCCAGATTTACAACAACTTGGGTGGTGGGTTCCCCAACACCCCCACCTCTTGTTTAAGGGTCAACTAAAAACACTCAACAATTAAGAAAAGGAATAACCTAATTAGGAAATAGACAAAATACCTGAATAAACATCTGAAGATACAGATGGCAAGTAAGAATGTGAAAAGATGCTCACCATTATAGGGAATTGCAAATTTGAATAAACACCGGGATACCACTCTTACATATGTACTAGAATGACTAAAATCCAAAATACTGACAACACCAAATGTTGGTGAGGATGTGGAACAACAGGAATTCTCATTTATTGTTTGTGTGAATCAAATTGGTACAGCCACTTTGGAAGAAAATTTGACAGTTTTTTGTGTGTTTTTGTGTTGTTTTTTTTAAAGCAAAAACTGCCTTACCATATGACTCAGCAACCACATGTCTTGATATTAACCCAAATGAATTGAATATTACTCAGTTCCAAAAAAGAAATGTGCTATCGAGCCCCCAAAAGACATAGCTGAACCTTAAATGTTTATTTCTAAGTGAAAGAAGACAGTTTGAAAAAGTTCATAATATGTGATTCCAACTATAACATTCTGGAGAAGGCAAAATTGTGGAGACAAAAAAATCCATGGTTGTCAGGTTTGTGTGGAAGGATGGGTCAATAGGTGGAGCACAGGATCTTAGGGCAATGAAATTATGTATGATACTACATTGGTGGGTACATTATACATTTGTCAAAACCCAAAATGTAAAACAGTGAAACCAAATGTAAAGTATGGACTTTGCTTAATAATGATGTGTCAGTGTTGGTTAATTGTTGGACTTTACTTAATAACGAATGTACCACACTGCAAGATGATGATGGGAGAGGCTTTGTGTTTTGGGGGACTGTGTGGGGGGGTAGAAAATGTGGGAACGACTCCGCAACCACGTGGCTTGGTATTAACCCAAATGATATGAAAGCTTATGTCTATACAAAAGCCTGCACATAAATGTTTAAAGCACCTATATTAATTGCCAAAACTTAAAGGCAACCAAGATTGTCCTTCAATAGGTGAATGTGCAAAAAACAAACAACAACAACAAAAACCACCTGTGGCCCACCCATACTGCATGATCACTCACTTTTGCTGTGAAACTAAAATTGTAAAAAAAAAAGAAAGAAAGAAAGAAAAAAAGGCTGTAAAAAAAGTTACATACATGATGAAAGGGTTACCCATTCATTTAACAAACATTTCTAAATAGTGTATAACAAATATGTACTAGATACAAAAATATCTGATGGTAGATACAAATGATATAAAAAGGCATTCATTCAGATTACCTGTTGTAGGCACTAAAGATTTGGTTGTTAATAAATGAAATATCTCTACCCTTAATGGAACTTACATTCTAATGGGGAAGATGAATGAACTAATAAACTTTGTAGTATGTTGTTAGCAAGTATTAAGAGAGAAAAAGCACCAAAGTTGGATAGATGTTCATATATGTGTGGGTAGTATATCACAATTTTAGATGGGGTGGCCAAGGAAAATCTCACTGTAAAGGTGATATTTGAGTAAACAACTCAAGGAAGTCAGGGAGGAAGCCATGAGGATATTTTGGGGATAAGCATACAGAGCAGAGAAAGAGAACAAGGGCAGAGGCTCAGAGATGGGAGCAGAGGGAGGAGGCACATGTGGAATAAACAAGACAGAAAGTAACAATAGAGGAT